TATGGGTTGTTTTACAATCAGGGTACACACTTTGTCTCACTTGGGGTGAAAAAAAAAGTTCCTTTGATTCTTCTGAAATTTTGTTTGTGTGTTGTATACAAGTTACTTGTAAAGTCTGTACAATTTTAGGGCTACAGGTGTCAATTTTTTTTTCTTCAAGCATGAAACATGTCCTTAATGAAAATATAGGGTCAAATGTCACCTGCTGACATTATGCAGAAAGAAAATATCTATAACTTCTTTGGATGAATGTGAATGACATAGTTTGATAACTTGATGATATAGAATCAGAATAAAACTCATTTTTTCAAGTGCAAAATGGTTTTATTCGTGTAAAATTCAGTTTTGGATCTTTTCAAACCACAAAATGATGGACTGACAGCGTGAAGTTACTGATTAAAAAAACACCAGAGCAGTTTGACCCTATATTATGTACAGCACAGCTACACATGGTAAGGGTGCTTTTGCATACCAAATTCCAGAATAAAAATATAAATGGTTCTTGAGATATGTGGCGTCAAAAAAATGTTCGGAGAGGACATTATTTTTGACATGCAGTTGGAACTGCCCGATACAATTATGATTTATTATTTCATGGCATAAATGAAACTGGAAAAATGTGAGGTTTATTAGAACATATTTTATCCCTATTAGCACCCATTTATGATCTGCATGTAGATCTTCAATCACCCATCGTAGAGAAATTATCTTCTCCCTCACTTTAAGACTTACCAGTACTAAACACTTGATTCACATTGAACTAAATATTGTCAGAAGGTAGCTGGACAATGCTGTGATTCTAAAGTTACAAGTTTTTAGGAATAGTTAACCATATATCAGTGTTTTGAAGATTTTACATGCTTTACACTAATATTCGGAGAGAACATTAGTTGTTGACATATGATTGGTTTGTGCTCGTAATCCATTTTCCTTATAAACACAACAATACTATGTGTGCAACTTATGTAGAATCTTAGACAGAACTTGTATGTCTCATGAACATAAGTTTTGGGCATGCTCCTCATATGACTCCACCAACTAAACATCTAGACCGGCAGATATAACTCATATAATATACAATGCCTACAATGTTCTCTTCAAACTAGTTTTATCGTAATGCAACAGAGGACTTAACTGAAAGTCCATTGCAATCATTGTATGGGATTAAATTCCTGCCTTTTGATGTACAATGTGTACAAGAGATATATAAATGAATATTTATTGGCATGATGTAATGCCTTGTAGCATGCCACGGGCGGCTGGGCGCAGCCATTTTTCTTTAAAATGTGATGTACCAGGCGGATTTGTACAGTCTCATGCACAAAGCTTTAATTGGAAAGACTTTTACATTGAACAAAACAAACCTTACTGTACAATCATAGCCGAGAACGTAAAAATTACATTTGGTGAAAAGTATATAAAAGAGTACCTAACATCATACATGGGAACGTCCGCTTGGACTAGGATAGCTAGAGACAGAAGAGAATGGAAATGTTATGAGGAGGGCTGTGTCCAACGTCTGGGTGAACTATAGCCTGAAAGATAGATATAATAGGGTTACAATTGTAACTCATTGATTAAAAAATACTATAATATATTTCATTTATGCGAAACCTTCACCCCAGAACAGTACCAACTTAAGCACGCATTATAATCCAAGATGGCGGCCCGCAGGTTTTTGCCTCTTCTCTTAGACCAATATTATTAATTTCAAACTCATGAAAGGCACTAAATATCAACAAACATGGACTACAACAACCCCAAATGACAAAATAATCATAAATATGCATTTTTTTTATAGCATTTGATAGCCAAAAACTTGAAAGATTTTGGCATTAGAAAAACAAATCTGCCGATTTTTATTCACGATCATTTTTATTGATCGGCGTTCAGAAATATTATTCGATCTCACTTGATCGGCCAACGATCGTCCCCCGATCCGATGATCGGTTACAGGCCTACTAAATTCTACAGGTCTCCCTCTTTTCAGGTTGCATCGGCCGAACTTTGGAATAAATTACCGGAAAATCTTGAACAAACTGTGATACTGTTGACAACTTTAAGGCGCGTCTTAAAATTTTCTTTTCACAAATATTTCCAATGTTAACGAGAGGAAGTATGTTGAGCATATCTAACTCTTCTTATGTTACTCTATCCACCTTTCCTTCTTTCTCCTTCTTACAGCGCATATAGAGACATATTGTGATATGCGCTAAATAAGTACGGTATATTATTATTTTTATTTGTATTATTAGCCATGAACTTGATGATGTAAAGTGGACCAGATTTCACTGCATATTCACTTGATGTATAAATCTGTTCCACCACGAAATATCGTCCACCTGAAATGTTTATGGACTAGGACAAAGCATCCCCACATCCAATAGTATAACAGCAACAAAGTTGTTTTATGTGATTAACCTGAATATGAAGACTTTTTATGGAAGTATGTAAATATGTTGAACAAACTGCTGTCCTCTCCGAAACCAAAGAGACTATTTATATAGATAGTATCTAGATAGTTTAATTAACAGTACTGGAAACGTGGAAAGGTATAAACACACACAATAAATTCAATTATATGGATTGAAAGTCTTAATTCTTCCGGGTATACATTACATCATGCTTCATGGAATTATAGGGGTGAAATTAGGTTGTGAATGGACATAATTAAAATAACCTCCCATCAAATAACAGGAAGATGTTAAGATTGTAATACCCACCTCATGATGAATTAAAATTAGGGTAGTTTTTGTAAATCCATGCACTTTGTAGACTTTTATTACTGTCATTTATCCATCTACTGATTATGGGTCGGAGAGGACATTTTGTTTGACACCTTCAAAATCAGTGTGAATATTACAAAATCAGTGTGAATATTAAACAAAACAAATATTATCCATTGCACAAGATTAAAAAATGTTAGGTATATTAATAACATAAGTTGGTTTCTAAATGTGGCTCTTCTTGAAGGAGTGCTGATAAAAAATATCACTTTTTCAGAGAGAACACTTTTTGACACACCCCTGACAAACAAATTAGAAACGTGCATTTACCAAAAAACTGATTAAGTGTGGGAAAATTTAATATCATAATTTTGTAGGATATTGGTGACTCTATTCACGGAGGAAAAAATAATTCATTGAGTGTGGTCTCACTTTAAATTATAGCGCTGGTTTCGGAGAGGACCTTTTTTGACCCATTTTGCACCTCATTTTTGGTGCATAGTCAAAATATGTAGATTTGCCAAAATATTACACCCAATTCAGATCTTACATAGGCCCGTTGGAAGGGTTATTTCTGATAGTTGAAAATGTTTTCTTTGGTACGTATGTCAGACATGCACATGTTCTAACTTTGCAAAAAATGAAATGAGACAGTAAATTGTGAAAAAAAATGGCATATAATCACATATTTTGAAAAGTAGTTGCTTGTTTCAAACAATTTCCTTCGCTGTTGTAGGTTGATCTAACAGTGTAAAATAGTTGCCCAAGGAAGATTTTCCTTGGCTGTTCATTGTTTTTTTAAAGGGCCATCAAAGTGAGTTTGTCTATTGTGTACCCTGATTGTAAAACAATCCATATGGACGTTCCAAAATGCTGCATACACTCCTACCTCCACTCCTCTCTCCATTTATATATTTGTTTGGATTGAGGAATATGTAGACTAAATTCAATATTGTAACCATGCATATAATCAATGTGTTTGCTCAAATTTTCGACTTGCTTTGTTAAAGATATCAACGAGTGCATTTCTGAACCGTGTCAATATGGAGGCTTTTGCTTAGATCTGATTAACTCCTATACCTGCAATTGCAACGATGGATTCACGGGCACAAACTGTGAAACAAGTAGGTTTTTTACATTTTCATTCTAATCAAATTTTGTAATAAGCTAAACAAATACAAGTCAAAGAAATCTATAATGTAATATTGAAAAAACTTTCATAGTAATTAAGGAGGGAAGCGATCAAAAGCATCGGGTTCAATTCATATTGTTTTAAAAGTTGCTTATTTGTTATGATTTGATTCATGTATTTGTGATGTCACCCAATCCCGTTTAAAGTTGAAAAAAATATTTTCATCTTTAGCTTAATTATTTAACAGTTTTAAAACTCTAATAAAGCTATGAATACACTCTGCAAAAAAGGGTATGTACATTCCTGGATTGTGCATACACTCCCACTCCCCCTCTTCATATTGATATATATTTTTATACTTCAGAGTTCACGGTTTTGATTGATGTACATATAGACGAACTTAAATACTGTAACCTATCATATATTTAGTGTCTATGCTCAAATTTTCGACTCTTTGTCTTTTTTTAAAGATATCAACGAGTGTATTTCTAGCCCGTGTCTACAAGGCTCTTGCATCGATCAGATTAACGGCTTTAAGTGCAATTGCAGCGATGGATTCATGGGCACAAGATGTGAATTAAGTAGGTTTCACATTTTCATTCGAATCAAGTATTGTATTAAATGAGCTTAACAAATTCAGAGAGAAAGATGTTGATGGGGCTGATTTCTTGGCGCCAGCCCGCTAGACCGAACATATCAGTCTGTCCTGGGCCTTCGAGCCACATTCACGAGGGCTCACTAGACTGTCGGGCCGCGAGACCGACGGTTTCCTATCTTCCGTTAAGTATTCCTTTGCTTTGTCAGTCTCGTGGATTGTCGGTCTCGTAGCCTGCCGGTGTAGTGAACTATAAAGTGGAACTTCCTCCTTTAAAAAATGTGTAATCCTGAAAAGGAATTCACTGTAAATCAAAACAAAGGTGATTTTAAGAAAATCACATTTTGTTATAAAACAATTAATATCTGTATGTTTCGAGTTTGTGGACATCTTCCTTGGATAATGTAATCCTAATTTTTAAAAGCCTCATTTTCATTATAGTAAGTATTGGGCAAATAAATTACTTTAAAAACAATAACACATTCCTTCTATTAATTGACATATATTTTTAATCTTCTAATTAGGAACTATAGCTTGTGGAGATTTTTACTGCGTGTACGGCGATTGTGTCGATGTCGGATCCTGTGTATGTAATCCTGAGTATTTGGGAAGGTCCTGTGATATCAGTAAGCATATTGTCATTCTATTGAGTTTTGTATCAGTGCTATTAATTTCTAAAAGTTTGAACTTGCATACTTTGTATTCCGTGTCTCTGTTTTCACAAAAAATTGTCCAAAATTTGTTTAAACAAAGAAAAGACGGTAAAAATGGTTTGCAGATGATATAGATAATAGACATTCTAAATACATTGTTTTCGTATCATACGTAATTCTTATCGTAGTATAAAGAGAAAGAGAAATAATAATAATGCTTATAATAATACTCATAACACTAACAATAATGGGTTTATGAAGCTCTTAATACATCTAAGATAGATTTATGTGGTTTGCAGATAAATTATCAACCTGGTCATGAAGTTCACACTTCCCACTCCCTAGGGAGTATTCAAGTCAGGCGCCATTTTACAAAAGCTAATACGTGGGTGGGGAGAAGCAGTTTATACAAAATTCCTTGCTTAAGGAAATAAGTACCTCGCCGGAGATCAAGCCGAGAACCCTTTGAATTATGTATTCAAGTGTTTAAACCACTCTTTTACGACACCCCTTACATAACTTGTAATAACTTCTGTAAATTAAACGTGCATTAATTGTATACGATATCCTTTTATGCTATAAAAAATAGAATATACATCATGTATAAAAGATAGGTGATATCAGATATTGCTTGTCTGACCACCTTTTCCATGTGTATACGATGATATATAATGCAGATTATATAACGACTTGCGGACGCACTCGTATTTCCGATGATTCTTTTTTCCAAACCCCCAACTTTTCCAGGGGGTTCATAACTCCGAAACTGAAATAGGGTTCATATTTCCGAATATTTGTAGCATTATTCCGAAGAGATTTGTTTATTCCCAGTTTTAAAATTCATGAAGTGAAACAAGGTTCATTATTCTGAAAGTGTGACCTACCCCCCCCCCCCTCCCTCGAAAAAAAATGAGCAACGATTCAGGCGTCTGCCATTTTCCGAATTACGTGCCTAGAAAAAAGGGTAACCGGATTTCACTATTCCATTAATTAGAACGCACATGTTCGAACGTCACGATGGAAACTGAATTCGGACAGGCCAGACTTCCGATGACTGAAGTTGGAATCGTTATTGACTCGGAAGAACTGTGCCCAGAGGAAGATTCTGAAGGTAGGTTAAAGTGTAGTTGTATATTTTAACAATTTCCGGGGGTTGGGGGGGGGGGGATGAGTTCAAAATGTGTTTTAACAGAATACCGAGAAAAAAAAAATCTTTAATTTGACATTACTACAAAATTCACTGACCACAAAAGAAGAAAAAAATTATGGAAGACATAAATTGGATACTTTGTTAAATTTTCTTTTTCTTGCGGAGTAGTTATGCATTATAATGTCAAAGTAGTTTTTAAAAAAGGAATAGTAAATATGTTTCATGTGAAGTTTAGTATAGGAATATGACACACACGTCGTTAAACATAAACATGTACCATCAATTCCAACTCCACAATACCATTTATTTTATTCCTTTTTATTCCTTATTTTATTTGATCTTATGTATGTAATAACGTATTTGATCTCTACGTATGTAAATATGTAGAGGTGTCGCGGATGAGTGGATACGTCGCAGGACTGTCGATTGCAAGGTCCGCGGTTCGAGTCCCGCCGCGGCACTAATGTCCTTTGACAAGACATTGATGTACATTTGCCACTCTCCACCCAGGTGCTAAATGGGTACCGGTAATTTAGCACCGGTAATCCTTAAAATGCTGTGAGCGTCGAAATTGGCAGCCTAGCATAGCCCGGTAATGTTGGAGCGCCTTGAGGACCTTGCAAGGTTGATACGTGCGCTAGATAAGAATCCAATATATAATATTTTATTTATTATCAGTTAAGTCTTTACTTGACTCTCATCTGTAATCGATTTTAGGCTGTTTTGGGTTACAGAGAAATACAACTATAAACCAATAGCAGTTCAGAGTTTTCTAAGGGTGTAAATCAATCAGCTTTACCTCCTCAAATTGACACCGACCATTCACAGTTTAAACAATAAAAATGAACATAGAATAAACCAGTTTGCATAAAATTTTACTAAAGAAAAAAAGAAATTGAACACACAACTTGTACACAAGAATAGTAAATATAAATTTCACTTAGCGTTACCGATTTGGAAACGTCAATGATCTTTATCGATTAAATCGCTCTTATGTTTAAACGACACAATGTAGACCTATTGCACAGAAATATATAACACATTTTCTAGCGATGTTTGCACTTTCTCTAAACGAAGAGCCTAAACTTCTTTGGGATCAAGAATCAATCGAGGGTACCGAAACGGAGAAACAGTTATGTCTCAAATGTATTGTAATTAAATTTTTATGTTGAAAGGCAGGGGATTTCTTTGCAAATGGTGGCATTTAACGTTTCTTTTTATAAAGTTAATTTCCCGACACAATTCCTACACAACGCACCATTTCCTTGTCTGATTTCGTTTTCTAAAATATTATGCTACTATTTCTCTCAAGGTAAAACATGATTTTCATGCTGTATCACCATGATCAGAAGCAGAGATAGCAAAACGTATTAAAATGATGTTTCTTACCTTCTTTTTCCTATATTTTTGGTTTAATGTTCTTTTTTTTATAGGCCTTGCTGCACCAATTATAAGAGCTGTTTGTCAAGTTTCTAATAACGGCACAACTTCTTGGAACGCCAGCATAAGATGTCAAGATTATGTCACGCGACAATTAAAGAGAAAATTAATGGCAAGTTTCACCATGATTACTTTAGATGCTCTTTAAGATATGAAGGGGTATTCACGGCGGTTTGTATTAATGTGTGAATGAATGGCAACTACGCGGAACATAGGTTCTATGGCATTCTCAGTTCTTCGTGTCTTTGGGTTACACGAACTTTTCGTGAATAATCAAGCTCTAAGCCCTAATTTCAGAATGGTCTGGTTTAATAATTGTGAAGAAAAAAAAAGCCTGTCCTTGTCTAGTTTAACCAACACTTTTTGAAAAGCCTTTACAGCAAATCCACGATAACTGGCGTCTCGACCGACTTTTCTTTTAAATACGAGTTAAATAATCACAAGATAGTTCGTAAAAAGGCCAGCGATCGACACTTCATCATTGTCTGATCGTATAGGCATTTTTTTCACAAACAAATGGACATCTAAAATACAAACCTTTTCTCTAGGAAAATCTTTGAAACGTTGTTATTTTGTGCATTCAGTACACCCGACCTTTCATGAATAAAAGGGCATGTTTTCACAACATATCGTGTAGCCCGACGTGAAGCACCCGACCTTTTGTGAATATAGCGGTACGTTTGTACCAAAGGTCGTGTAACCAGACAAGCCAACTCGACCGACGCGAAGATCCGATGGAACAAAATAAGCCTACGCGTATTTAACTTTTCAACATCATTTACAAACTAACGCCGCTGGTTAACGCCTTATATCTAAACGAGGTTTAATAATTATACTTTAAGAGGCAAGTAATAATCATAATAAAAACGCGATGAAGTAATCGTCTCCCATCCGCTATTATGTTGTCTAATGTCAAAAATGTAAAATTAATAGTATAATCGGTATACAAAACTATTTATTTTGTGATAAAAAACAATGTTACAATTAAAGCGTAATTGGTGAAATGTGATTAATCTGTAGTTCCTGTTTTTTGTTGTTCTTATTAGCTCTTTATTTCTTAGTCGCATCTCATCAATTACTCAGTTGTTCATATACCCAAACCCTGCTTAATAAATCGTATGCCCCTATTTTACATGTCAGAACTTTAGGATTTCTAATCTCAAAATTGGTATGGTTGAATGGTGAACCTTCTGAATTACTCCCATCCTGGGTGAATGTTAACTACCACTTTGTAATATTCATCTTTTTTTCGAGTGAAACAAATATTCCTTCGTTATAACATGCCTAACAGCATATATCGTCGTTGATTTTACGAACCGTCATAAACCACTTTTAAAGGCAAAACTAAACTGTGGAGAAAATCGCTTCAAAAGTTAGGGCATTTTGCCGACGCTCGTTACTTAGAAGTTTACAGAAACCTTCCGTTTTGTTTGATATCAATGTAAAGCATAACTTCTCTAGTTTTGTAATATTGCACTATTTTTGCATGAATTCAATTTGATATTATGATTATTGTAGAAAAACATATCGCGGCATTTCAGCAACTGCTGATTTTCTCGCAATAAGCATTTAGGTCACTTCGTAAAATCATAAATTGAATGCGCGTGATTTTTCAAATCTTACCAAAAAACAAACAATAAATCGTAGTTTGGGAGTAAGAATCCGACCTCCTCTAACACTCAGCCCTCCTGTATATTAGTGTCCTATGTACTGTTTTATTTAAAATGAAATAATGCTCGTTCGTCAGCCCTATCCAGCCATCAGTCTATATAGAAAGACAAGATTCAGGATGAATGATAACATTTAGTCCTTCCCTCTTAAAATATTTGAAGTTTGAAGTTTTATTTATTCCACATTTTACATAAAAAACAGAATAGAATCGAGAGTAAAGAGAATAATATAATAATAAGTAGGAGAAGGTGAAGAAGGGAAGAAAGAAGAAGAAGAGGAAGACGAAAAAGAAGTGGAATAAGGAGAGGCAGAAGAAGAAGTAGAGAAAGCAAATTGATAAAAATCAATGGCATTGTGAAATAACAAAAACAAATGTATAACCACATGTACGATCCATCGCGACATAAACATTACTTTTATGCGTACTTACTCAAAAGGAAACACCTGAGCTTTCGTTTAAATGAATTAATTGAGGGACTTTCAACTAGTTCGTTATTCAGGCTGTTTCAGAATTTGGGTCCAGTAAAAATAATTGTTTTGTTAGCAAGTTAATGTCGAGGCCTGCAAAAGTAGAAGTCTACGCCTGCGCTAATCTAACGTCTTTATACTATCAAAGAATTGATGTGTTTTGGAGTAAAGATTACAAACAACTGAATCGTGTGTCTCTTTGTACTTGAAGAACGGGATATATGATGCTAATGTGAAAGACGTTGCTGAAGAAGTTTTCACAATAACCCAGAACTATGAGGACATTACCGCTACCGATATCGGCTTGCTGTATGAGATCCTGCAGGTGATAGCTGACCTGAACTCTGATGCAAATGTGAGTTAATAGGTCATTTCCCTTTCCTTTAAGTGACTCTCACACTCTGCCGTGTAGGCCTACCGTGTGCCACCGTGCGCGAAAATGTCTGCGGACGGTGGAGAACGGCGAGGGCACACGGTGGTTCGTTATCAAAGCGGGAAACACGTTAATAGGGCGTTGGCGCTTATTTACACCCGGTGGGACCCGGCGAAAGTTTTGGGCATGTTCAAAACTTTGGCCGCCTGGCACCGGCCGCAAGTAAGCGGCAAGAGGACGGTGTTGAACGGTATGAGGACGGTATGAATACGTTATGAAAACGGTCACACTGTATGAACACGTTCACACCACGCTCATAACCCGTTACAGAACGGTGATGAACGGGCAAAAACAAATCCACCGTCTGCAACGGGTTGTAAGCGGGTTGTGAACGTTTCATGAACGTGTTGATACTGTGCCACCGTCTTCATAACGTATTCATACCGTCCTCATTACAGTGTTCATACCGGACTGCCAACGGGTGTTTCCAAAGCGGTACCGCCTGATTCTGACGGCGCCGCCTCCCTAACGCATGGGTAACATCCTGTTAACGCCTCGACGTTCCCATAACGTCCTATAACGGGTCCATAACGTGTCCTTACCTTCACAGTAGCGTCATATGAACGTGCCATTACCAACAAATTTACTTTTGTCACCGTGTGCCACCGTTTGTCACTAATTATTGGGTATATATAGAGGGGTTTCGTCAGATGAGCTTTACTTTTTCTTGTCATGACGTCAGCAGTCCGGGGACTCGCTCACAGGACGCTCCGAGCGGTGAGGGGACGCTAAGTGACTGGTAGGTGGCTGCTACAAACCCGGTGCACACGTTCGAGACCCGGTATGGGCCTGGTATGGAAACGGCCAGAAGATGGCAACGAAACGGTGAAAAGATTAATTTTATGATTTTTTTTTTGCGGCCGGGGACAAGTTCGCTCAAAACCCAACGTTCTGGACTCTGTTGTTTTTTAACAGCCCGGCAGGTGGACGGTAGGCCTACACGGCAGAGTGTGAGAGCTCCATTACGTACCTTAACTTATATCACCAAATCATTTGACGTAGAGAGAGAATAAAAACGAGCATGTTAAAACCTATCAGTATTGCTAGGTCTGGAAGAGAATGAACTCAATATTATTATTGAAAATTATGCAATGTTAGATGAATGATGAATTTGGTTGTATACTTTATATAAGCCATGGTATTAATAGAGGCGCAATGGCTCAGCGATAAACAGTGGTTTCTTAATCGGGAGGTCCGGGATTCGAAACCAAGACGATGTAATAGTGCCCATCGATTGATAAGGCATTATCAAATCATCATTACCAAGTCCCTGGTTGCTTATGGGGCTTTCACATATACATTCCGGGGCCCGTACGGCGAGTAAAAACATAAATTTTGGTAATTTTCGGCCGGTCTCCGGCCGGCTGCCGTAAAGTTCCTACGGGCGCCGGGACAGTTTTCTAAGCCGTACGGGCGCCGTGGTGCTGATTTGGCTGCTCTCAATTCTCCCGGCGTTTTTATCTGACCGTTAGGCTGTAGAAAGCCCGTAAAAGGCTCGTAAAAAAAAAACGTTTTTACTCGCCGTAGGGGCCCCGGAGCGTATATGTGACAGCCTCATTACAAGCATACAGATCCTCAATAATGGTCAGGGAAAAAACATTCTTTCAAACCTAACTTATAGTAAAGGGTCTAAAATAAGAAGCTTGTTTATCCTGAGACCCTCTAGATTGGTGTTTCAAATTACGGCTTGTCATTGTTTGGCATATGTCGTTTGTAATGAACGAAGAAAGTCTAATCTCTTTTGTTGTGTAATGATATTTACCTCATCTTTCATAGGTAACAGGTCTTATAGTGGGAATAGTAAATAACGTGATGTTTGTCTACGAGGATGTGCTAGCCTCTGCCCAAGAGAATGGAAATTATACTGCCCTCATCGTCCAGGTCTTAGAATCTCAGTTGAATACCGTCGACGTTGGTAACAGCACGCTTGATGCAGCTTATCCTAATTTAGCAGTTAAGGTAAACTAGACCTTAACTCTCACAAATCTTTACATTATTTCTGCCCAAGTAGACCGTTGTGTGAAAAATTACAGATGATCGATGCATGCATCCAAGTACACAGTGATACATGAATTGTGTCCCTTCTCTAATCAGACGTGCTCAGTTATTGAGTGCTTTAAATGTTTGACATGTTGACTGGGTTGCGGAGGCGTGCTCGCGGATTTGAAGAAAAACAATTTGTTGGTTTAATAAGGGCAAGAAACAGCCTCAAAAGGGGTCATATTTCCAAACGTGTGAATGTGCACTAATAAATCATGACCACTATGAGAGACACCACACCACAATGTCCTTGTTTAGTTGCTGAGCCTGAAAGGGCTTTCGACGAGTACTAGCATAGACATAGGCGTAGATGTGTGTGCATTATCATGATTTTGTAAAAATATGGTGTTTTTTTGTAAATTTTTACTCAAAGTTGAAAGCAACAATATCGACAATTTAGATAAATGAATAATTATAACGAAAATTAAACTGTACACACTTTCCTGTAGGTGCTTGACGTATCTTCGGACACTGCTGGAGACGGCATAGTGATCACCATGTTAAGTATGGACACCAGTTCCTTGAGCAACAGTGACATCATGGTAGGAACACACCAAGACACACCTACTGACTCTGTCCCAAGAGACACCTTTGTCAGGGTTGTTGTACCCATCGAGGTGGGGGGAAACGCTATTGAGTCTCTCAGGGTTGCTTTCGTTGGGTATGCCAATGATGCCATGTTTCCTTCTCCAAGTCTTGCTCTACTAAACCGGGAAACACACGAGTTCAACAGTGAGATTGATACACCAGTGGTGTCCTTAACAATCGGTGGACAGAAGATAGAGAATCTCATGGAGCGTGTCAACGTCACTTTCTACAGATTCAAGGTAAGCATGGTATGAGGTGCACTGAAGATTTGTATGACAAATGCTCCGGTGACAAATGCTCTGATGTCAATATTATGAACAAAATTCGTATCTTCAGTCTTGGACCAACGACCTATACCTATACACTAAACATAACCTAAGAATCACTTAGAAACCTATACACACCACCATAATTATGCAAACAATTATCACGAAACACGCCCGGAGCAATCATCACCAGCTGGAGCATATTCTCATAAGAAACGGGCGGTAGTAATAACAACACTGATTGGTGTGTTAATAAATCAATATTTAATCATTAAGTCAATTTTGTCAAGGGTTCCCAGGATGGCATTTCAACAACTTTAAAAAGGAAATGAAGAAGAAAAAAGTTGTCATAAGATAAATATTCAAAAGCATAGGACACTCGATAACATGGATCAAGAAGCCATTTTCTATGCGGATTGCTAAACAAATTTAACGCCATTAATTGCCTGCAAGCACCCCAGGCCTACACTTTTTCCCCTACACTAGCCGATGTTATGGTAAAACCCAGATTACTTAACATTATATAGGCCTGGATATACAGTATATATTGATTATACTTGTACTTTACATGTCGTAAACAGGCATGTGCTAAGTTCTGTTGCCAGTGGTTGTGGGCCGCATGTCTCTAAAATGTTATATTTATTTATTTACTGCTTTCAGCCTAACTCCAGCGATCCTACTTGTAACTTTTGGGAGTTTAATCTTGTTAAATGGTCTATGGTGGGATGTCAACTGTTACCTGATAACGCCGTCAATAGCTTCAATAATGAATACTACACATGCGCCTGCGACCACCTGACCAACTTTGCCGTCTTAGTGGTACGTGATTCCTTCAACATGTTTGAAATATCTTCTTTCTTTTTTTCTTTCTATTTTTCAAACTCAATGAGTAGTGTGTTAACGTACGGTAGTCACATTAAACTATTAAACAAGTAAGTAAACATGAGATTGCTGTTGCAAAGGTTTGATCCTATATTAACATATAAGGTTTATCAGCTAAAGCTACATGTCCTATTTCTTGACCGTTTTGCAAATGAAAATAATGCCGAACAGACGTGAAATTTGATTTCACACTTTTTAAAGCAAAATAATGAACAAAGATTTGCTTATGTTGTGTTTTTAACGGACAGCTAGTATTTTGGTTTAAGGGACGAGGGATAAAGGTAGAATAGGTCGGTCGCTCCCAATGTCTAGCAGAGTCTCAGCCTGGCAAACATGTACTCGGGACGCCTAGATATCACCATTCGCCTATATCTAGAGGCCTCTAGTTTCCTCCAAAACGTGGTTAATGTGAGTTTGGTTTCAAGATTTGGGTTACAGGTTAGACAGGCTCGATTGAATCCAGAGACACGGGTAGTAAACGAATTTAATAAAGCAGTGACAGATACATTGCTCGCCCGAAGTTCTAAAGATAATCGCATAATAATTGACTGCCGTGACGCGCTTTAAACCCAATGGCCTGTTTGTATGTTTGTAGGTTTCACCTGTTTTTATTAAACATTTTATCAATGAGTGAAATTCATAATGTATACAAATTTAAAATGTATCCTTTACTGTAATCTTATTTCATTGCTCCTGCACACGTTTTACGCTGAAGGACATATATGCAGAGGACGCACCTCCGAAACCTGTACTCCGTTTATTGAGTATCATTGGGTGTGCTATATCAATTGTGTGTCTGGTCATCGCTATCGCGTCCTATCTTAGTGTCAAGTGAGTCAAATTGTTTGTGGCAGTTGTTTGTTTTAACCCCCCCCCCCCCTCCCCATCCCCTAAAACAATTACATAATAATATATTATCAGTCTAAATCCATGAATTTATACAGAAACAACTCAGTATAATCATGATAATGTACAAAAAGCGATTGAAAATGAAAGAGTTGATAGTGATTCCTAGAACAGAATGAGTGATGTCTATCAGTAAACCATCGCAAAGACATACGAGAAGTCATTTCAATTGATTCATTTCATCAGGTATGTTCAGTACATGTACCCGTTTTAAGGCTTATATGCCACATACATAATGATTATTGTGATTACGTAATACGTCATTTGAATGTTCACATATTTCAATAGATGATGTTTAAGGCAATTAAAGGGCAATTCAACAGTTCCGATTCGTACGAAAGCAGACAAATAAGAGAAACAGAATAGTGAAAGTTTGAATAAACAGGACCTATCATATGAAAGTTGTGAATGTTTGAAATATCATATCACAAAATTATCCGAATCTCAGATTGGCAATTTGATAAGAAAGTGACGTAGTCATGGACAAATATACCATTTGTCGCGTACAAATACATCATTATTTTATGTTTTGCTCCTAAGTGCCTTTTCCCTCGGGGCACTATTCGAAACATATTATGGATAGCATATTACCATAGGTTCTCTAAAAAGAAAGGACCTTCCTACCGATTGTGTCAATAAAGAGCACCTATACACCATCTACATAGAGGGATAACAACTTGCAAACATTCATAATTTTGTATTTATTTATTCAATTATTTACTTTTTTATTGTTTCATAAATTTGTATTTATTTATTTATTCCTTTTTTTATATTATTATTATCATTATTTTAATTTTTTGTTTGTTTGTTTGTTGTTGTTGTTGTTTGTTGTTGTTGTTGTTGTTTTTTTTTTTTTTTTTTTTTTTTTTTTTTTTTTTTTTTTTGGGGGGGGGTTTCATGCAAACTTTCAACAGTCTGCTTCTGGTAGGTCTCTCAAAAGCTTCGGAATGACCTACCATGCACTAGACATAGGAAGAGCCCCGTCTGTGGCTGTTTAAAAAGTTTTGTTCATTATCAGAAGCCTTTTGAATAAGTTTTGGTTGTGTGTCCGTAAAGTGTCACTTTATGATTTTTTTTCACCACCGCGCAAATCAGTATATTACATTAGATGCGCTATAAATCAATCGTACTATTAACGTTTTCATTACCTAATGGTTGTCTTTTATACCATGAAAAAAGGGTAGAGAGTTTTCATTTTGGGATAAGATAGATGGGGAGACATTATGTCGTATAAAGGTCACATTACACGGAACTGCTCTTGTTAATGCAATCAGATCAAAGAATGTTCGTTTATTTATTGGAAGAAAAAGAAAACTAGCCAGACAAAACGTACTTACGATAATATCTTTCATCAACAGGAAGATACGAAGATCTCAGACTCACAAGATTTTCATCTGTCTTTGCACCACCCTGCTCTGTTTGTACACCGTATCCCTCGCCATCATTGCTCTTGACACTGAGTTCCAGTATGCCGAGGTCGAGTTGATACCGTGTTCCGTCCTGGCGGCACTCGTCCACTACTTCGTGCTCTCTTCGCTTACGTGGATGGGCATCGAGGGGTTTAACACTTATCTGGTCATCATAAAAGTGTTTAATACTTACATCCCGAAGTTTATGATCAAAGCTTCGATTGTAGGATGGGGTAAGAACCGTTGATTTCTCTTGATAGTACAACAAATACAACTATAGTGCGTACTATTAAAACAAAACACTGACAAGAGACGTGACCTTTATAGGTGTCTAGATGACGATGAGGATCACCACAGATTTTTCAAGAGCAGACAGAGATTGTTTTACACTTGATTCCTGTATTCACTATTGGGAATTACCTGATCGTCGGGTCTACTATCGAGTTTTCAGTTGTGGTTGATTAACAGACGTAGACGATTGTAAACCCTACCCAAACCGCCTCCCCCCTCCCCCTCCCCCTCCCACCTCCACCCCATGAATGATCAGGACCACATTGTGTGAAGCGAAGAACGCTTTGGGCAACTGTCAACCTTTGTTCATTATTTGTTTAATTATTTGCTTGATTATTAATTCATTTTCTATTTCTTTGTTTGATTATTCTAGTATATCTTTATTTTGTTAGTTTTTGAATTACTCATATATTTATCTATTATATACTCCAACGTGTAAAGATCGAGGAAAAAAAGTATAACGGGGACATTTTCCTAATATTTTTTCTTTTTCTTTTCAAATTCAGGTATCCCGGCTGTGATTGTTGCCGCAACTGGGGCAATCACTAGGAACTATTATGCTGAAGAAGATTAGTAAGTTGATCCAACTTGTACATGAGGAATCTTGCACCAAAATAGATAGTTAGTGCAAGTTACTATTAATAAAAATTACTGCATTTCAATTTGTGTTTATCTATGTCTTGACGTTCTAACAGAATACTCCTACTGTTCTAGAATATCGGCGGAATGGCTCTAATACAGCTCTGGTATAGAGGAAACAACAAATGCGCGTGAACTATTCATGACTAGGGTACTGATTAAATGTATTAGGGACTTTTAGATTGAGTGGACGAGAACACGACGAACGCCGACTGATCATGCGTGTCAACGTACTGAACTGCCCATGTTGACTACAATTAGAAATCTTTTAGATTGCACTCGACGATATACATGCATGAAGGAAATAACACTATGAACATGACAGACAAAGAAAGAAGACGAAATATATAGTTCCTCATTCTACCCTCAAGAATAGGCCATTTTCGTAATGTAACCAAATTTAATGCATAGGTCTTTGTGAAGTGCCTCAATACAAATTATTTCATTTACCTGATAGAAATAATAGTATTTCAATAGTCAGAATGCAGCTGCATATATTAAGTGTTGCTAGGTAGGTCAAGCCATAATGTTTGTCCAACCTGGCAACAACTAATGTATGCAGTTAGGATTCTGTCTATATTGAAATACTATTATTCTTACGAAAATGGCTTATTGCTGTGGTACGTAGAACATCCCTTCACTGCTATTATGTAAAAATGTCAGTAGAACAGGTGAATATGCATGTGACACCTGTTCTACACATTTTGACATAATAGCAGGGAAGGGATGTTCCTTTGTCTACCTGATGAACTGTATATTTTATGCGCACGCGGCATACTAGCTAGTACCGTACTAGATTGAGGAAAATCAAGGTTGACGCATTCTCGATCGCCGACTGAGACGACGTGACGCATGCGCAGTGCCTTAAAATGACGTCACACGTTGCAGTCAAAGCTGTCAACGTGCAAATCTAAAAGTCCCTATTCGTAGTCAACCTTGTTTTCTGAAGTCTTCCCCGAGCAATGTTCTATTTTCTCTTTATCTCCATCCACAGTTGTTACATCCGGAAGTGGCCCCTCATTGGTGGTCTCTTGGTCCCAATGGCTATCATCCTCATCATCAATATCGCTGTGTTCATTCTGGCAATGCGTCGTCTGCAAAATTCTGCACGAATGGCAGGACGTGTGAAGAAAGACTGCAAGACCGAACGACAAGAGACCCGAGAACGGATCCAGAATGGCATCGCCATGTTGCTCCTGCTTGGCTTCACCTGGACTATTGGATACCTGACCCTGATCAACGTGGACTTCACTGAACTCCTTTTCATCATCTTCAACTCCTTGCAAGGCTTCTTCATCTTCGTCCTCTATTGTCTTCGAAAGGAAACCATCAGGATGCAATGGCGACGATGTATTTGTTGTGCACTGTTGCGGGAAGGTGCAGGCAGCGCTGAGTCCCAAGGAAATTCCGGTGGAACATCAAGAGCTACGAGTGGGACTGGATGCTCTCAGCCTATGTTTGAATCTTCCTCTACAATACCCCATGCCAATCCATCTTTTGACCCACTCAAATTAGATATGAAACCATCAGGTTGCGATGATTAATGTGCAAACGATTTATCTCTTTTAACTAATAACCAGAAAATGATAGTAGGCATGAGCACTGAGACTTTGATTTAATTAAGGTAATTTCTACACCCTAATGCATTGCCTTTTGAAATTATGTTCGGATTACGTAATGGCGTGTTCCTACATTTCAATGTGTAACACCCAAGTCTATTGAAATTGCCTGAAGTAGAATTTGTGAAAGTCCTAGCGACCATGCTGTACATAATTGAAACCCTCTGGAATGTAATGAAACGCTTTGTAGCTTGTTATTTGCTCTTGATGGTAGGGACTATCTGACTTGTTGGAATTATTATGTATAAATAAGCATTATAGGTTGATACACAATCATGCATGATGTGAGTGTGGGGGTATTTGTTTGAAAGATTAATTGACACATTGTTATTTACATAATCATATGCAATAACGCGAAAGGGTTGTAGAGGGGTAGTGCGTTTGTTTCTTTGTTTAGTTTGCTTTATTGTTGAACATTATACATAACAATAATGTCTCATGCATAAGATTGACAAAGAGAATACATAAAACAATGTTAGACATTTAACATAGAGAATCGATGATGTGAAATAATGAGGAACCTATTAAGTAGCACAGCTTGTAAATTATAGGTTCCCGAAATAAATAGTGATTTCTAATTTTGATAACAAAAAAGAACGAAGTTATAACAGTTTGAGTCACTGATGACACATTAGCATTATGAATAACATGTAGACAAGGTTTGCGGCCACAATTGAAGTAGGCTATAGCTACTTGGTGCTGCAATATGAATATTGTTTAGATGAGAAGAAATATCAATTATGACTTCTTTGCATATTACATTTTTTTTTTATTATTCTGAATTAGAGGTTTTGTTTTGGGGTAGACTTTCATTTACAGGCAAATTCAAAACTTTGCTGAATACACGAAAAGATAGAAAGGGTATATTTCATCAAATTTCTGTTTTACATGTCATTTTCTTCAGAAAATTTGTCATATGGGCAAAAGTCATATTCATTTTCTTTTTCAACATGCATGAGCTTGTTTACGCTGATGCACATTCCGACTTCCCTTTAACGCCCCAATTACTGTTTTTGTTGGTATTTAAAAAATAAAAAAATAAAATTGTTTTTAGTTATTGTAAATTATATATTGTAAAGCGTATTGAAAGAGCTTTCTTTTCTAAAATACACAATACAATGACCTTATTATTATTTTTTAAAAATTTTATTTGTTATGTATTTATTATCATTATTGATAATATTGATATTATTATTATTATCATTACCATTACAATTGTTTCTATCAATTTGTTGTACTGATTGCTTTATAATTACATCGGATATGTCAGCTTTTTAGGTTAAGAAAAGATTAAATATCCCGTAGCTATGTCGAGTGATTTGTTGAGTATAGACGTTCCCGTACCAGCCAATATCTACATGGACATTGCTGTAAATAAAATGAATACTGTAAGTTTGTATTTTTACCATTGATTTTTCATATTATATACAGAATCTACAATATTTCGATTTAACAATTCAGTAAGTCTATGTATATTGTATTGCATAAGCATTAGAATATGGATTAGACGTAAAGTACTAGTAAAATAAAATAAAGATAAAAGTAATTTGGAGAAAACAATAAAACCCATCGCGACGATGGTGGATACGTTTTTATGAAAATTATGTAATCTTTAGTAATGTATGCACTGGCTCTACATTTTATGATAAACAGGTGGAAGTATTATTTTCAAGAGGGAAAACAAAAAAAAAGTGTTCTAGAAGCACCTAAGTTTAAATACACTGTACGTGACCGCTTTGGAACTTTCATGGGCCATCCTGTCAAATATCTCTTGTGTTACTGTTATATGCCTTTTCCTTTGTCTTTTGTACTACCGTATTTTGATATGCTTAGCTTGGCAAATAAAACAAAATATAATCAACTCATATCAACCTCTATCTCTTTGGCAATGATTATTCTAACACTCGCAAAATGGGACGTAAGTCTCCATGTATCAAAGATTTGTGAATATTTGGGGGTCATCTTGTTCAAGTGCTATCCCCGAAAAAGTTTACCATAATATACTATTTTCGTAATGTAACCAAATCTTATGCATCTCAAGGATGTTCCTTGTTTCCCTTGTTTCCCTTCCCTTTCACTCCTTTTATGTTATGTCTATTTGATTTATGTATTTGTGCGTTCCCTTATTATTGATATACTATCTTTGAAATTATAAGATATAGGGGGCTGCAATCTACAAGCCCAGCTTTTCAGCCGTCCCCTCCATGAACAACCTATTTTATATGCCTTTTGTACACTGTGGACCAACTACAAATATATTTTTCAGTTTCATTGTCTTACTATGTACAATGCAATCCCATATACCTTATTTATTTTGTTTGAAATGGAAATAAACGAAATAAAAGGTCAGACTTAAAATATTGGTCAATATCTTACCACTCCCCCCCCCCCCAAAAAAAAAAATAAATAAATAAATAAATAAAAAATAAATAAATAAATAAATGAAATAAAATAAAAAATAAAAAATGGAACCCAAATTAAATTTCGTCCTAATAACACAGTGCCTCTCAATCGTCCACTCTACGCCATGCCAAAGACCTTATATTCCATACGTAGCGCCCATATCAGGACAACTACCCGCAGGAAATCACCCCCCCCCCCCCCCCCCCCCGCCCGAAAATTACCCCCGGAAGATTACCCCTAGGACAATTTTCGGAATAAAACAAACATTTTATGTATCCATTCACTTGAAACACCTATTGTAAATGTTATGCATATCGAGCAGTGATAAGGTTTTGTATCAATCATGACATGGCAATTCAGATCAGATGGTGTCCAAGTTTGTAACTCTTTTCCTTATTTTACTTCAATGTATAACCCCGTCTTAACCAGAAAATATAGTCGCGGTGTCATCCGGACGTTGTAAAAATGGACAGTTGTCTGTGATATTCTGATCGTTGTTTCGGAGGCCGTTCTCGCCTGATTAAAGGTGTTTTAATCTCCAATTCCTGTCTGATCTCTGGTCATTCCTGTTTGTAGTTAGTGAATCCCCTACATTGTCCGGATGACATTCTACCCCGTTCCAGTGAAGACGCGTCAATCGGGGTAACATCAGGACAATATCGAGGTGACATCAAGGTGAGTTTCACCCTAGTCGGGCCAGGGTGAGATGGCGGTAACGTCCGGACGACATCCTGACAAAATCCAGATAAACGGCCTATTAAGACGCGCGCCGAACTCTACCGGGTAGATGACGTCATGCGAACACAAGGTACTCTTGTAAACAAGGTTGCCAATTTAACTTCCTCTAACTTTGCATACGTAAACTAATACATACATTCATAATCTAACACTTGAATTTGCTCAAATAATACGAATTGTAATACTATTAATAAATAAATGCCATATTTTAAAAGCTAAAAGTAGGTAAGCACAACAACTAATATATGAGTGTGCGCATTCAATAAGCCAGTTCACGGTTGCAGTCTGAGCATGAGCAGATAAAGGTCATTGCAGAACAAATTTTGAAATTAACGGAGACGAAATACTGGATTCGTGCTCATGAAAGTTATGTAACATTATTCATTCATGCACATTCAGTGCACTCCATGATACACAGGTGGAAGTATTCTTTGAAAAGAGGAAACAAAGGCTATTTCTATAGCACCTCCATCGCTGTAGGAGTAATTATTTCATAATGTACAAAGTGGGACCTCTTCATGGTTTTAAGATCTGTGGATATTCGGGGTCATTGCAGTAATGTGCTAACAGTGAACTGGTCTATTCAATAACAGTCGGGCACTGCTTTCCCGCGCTAACGTACACAGCGCGCGCCAGCTGATCGCGATGAGGGAGGTGCGGTTGTTATGGTAACCTACCCGAGTGAGGTTTTTGCGGATGGCTGGTTAAGACTGTGTCCATAAACCTGGCAAAAGCTCACCCCGTGTTTGACGATCAGACCCCCAACTGTTTCTTATCCACATATCGCTCGGGTGAGATCGAAAAAGTTATATTAAGACGGGGCTTTTAGAAGGTGTATAACTTGTGAATGTCAGTGTTTATGAGACTGTCCGTGGGAGCGTCAATGCAAGTGATTACAAGAATGAGAAACGGAGTGTACTTTGTTGATTAATGCTATGAGTTTTTAGTGGAGTGGTGTGTGTGTGGAAGGGGGGGGGGCGAAACGAGAGAAGGTTGTTAGAAGAACCAAACATAAAAAAGACCCCAAACAAATGAAATTAAAAATATAAAAAATCCGCCCGCCCGCCCCTGCTCCAGAAAAGCAATCGAAGACAACCAAATTACTTTTTTGGGCCTTGTAGATCTACAGTTGAAATGGAACTGCACGGCATCATGGTGATTTTCAGCCTATGGATTGAAAGCAGGAGCGTTTGAACTGCATAGAAAATCTTCATCATGATTATCATCATCCCCAATTATACGAGAAAAAAACAATAACAAGACATTTGGAATAATCGAAATGATTACATTATACAAATGCCATAATAAGCAATTTAAAAGTTTAGTTACTTGACGTCGAGAGATTTTTAGTCCACTTTCACTCTGCAACTTGTACGTGTACACTCTGTGTATGACAGTATATGGCGCGCTAGCACTCCGGCTCCCTGTCCCAAGTGTGACGTCATGATTGAGGACCCGTATATTTCGCTTTCAAGCCAGGATTGGAAGTTCTGAGAAATGTCTTCGAAAATGCTTATTGGAGTGTTTAATTAATATTTACAAAACTTTAAAGCAAATGATTCATGTTTTCAATGATATAAGCTTTCTTTATGTATAATTTGCCCATTTTGTGAAATGTCCTCGCTCAGCGTCTCTAAACAGGCGCCGTTCTACCGCGGTCACATCCACCAAACAGACTCCAAACCGGCTTATTCCTGGCTAGTCGGAGGAATAAAATCATTTTGATCGATTATGTTATCTGTCTAGGGTAGGTTTTGTCGGTGTGACTGAGATATAACAAATTTGGTTCAAAGATTGTGCTATACAGGCGCGTAATTTGGAATTGACAAAGGACCGCTTGTTGGTTGTACGGATATGCGGCAATCAAATAATATAATTCAAATAGTAAAGCACTTAAATATTGGTTTGGAAGTCATACTATAGATTGTCACCTCTTCTTAGCCTAAGCCTCTTACTGAGACGGCAGGTTTGTAATACCTCCAAATTTGCCACCAGTTCATTATTACGCGTTAAGTAAGCATGGTAAGCAAATACAAATTTGTTTTCTTCCAATTTTTGAGCCCTCTGCATGCTATTTGAAACAATTTTCACACAAATAAACAAATCAATATGTGTGCACGTTTAACCACATTCAAAATAATATTTTTATACAAACATCAATTGTAGCAACTACCACTTTACAGCAAAATGTCTTTCCATTCCAGATCGACGAACAATATATTTCTCATCTTTATTTTTCAACTTATCAAACAGCGGAACAATACTATTCAGTTTACAATTAAACATCTGTTGTTTAATTAATATAACAATGCAATTTAGGGCATCGTTTCTCTTATCTTCAAAGCCAAAAATTATATTTTGTAAGAAATAGAAATGACTAAAAACGTTGAATTTGTGAGACATTGTAGATCAAGCACCATGGTTAAGCGCCAACAGAGGCGGACACCAGCCGTTATACAAAAAGCCTTTAACATAATCACTTTTATCATCAACATTATCATCTTCATCCTTGTAATCATCATCCTTATCATCATCGTCATCATCATCATCATCATCATCATCATCCTTATCATCATTATCATCATCACCATCATCATTATCATCATCATCCTTATCATCATCATCATCATCATCATCATCATTATCATCATGGTCCTTATCATCATTATCATCATCATCATCATTATCATCATCATCCTTATCATCATCATCATCATCATCACCATCATCATCATTATCACCATCATCCTTATCATCATTATCATCATCATCATCATCATCCTTATCATCATCATCATCATCATTATCATCATCACCATCATCATCATTATCATCATCATCCTTATCATCATTAACATCATTATCATCATTATCATCATCATCCTTATCATCATCATCATCATCATCATCACCATCATCATCATTATCACCATCATCCTTATCATCATTATCATCATCATCATCATCATCCTTATCATCATCATCATCATCATTATCATCATCACCATCATCATCATTATCATCATCATCCT